CTCTTGGTGTCTAAAGAGCCAGGATCCAAATTCCAAGAGCTTGAGAGGAACGACACCTGTGTCCATTAATCTGTCCTGTGTTCAAGTCACTGAGAAAGTGCCCTTCCAAACACCCTGACAGTGGAGTGCTGGATTCTCAATTTGCTTAGAAGAAAATGCAAGATGTTAGCCAAGCCTCACCCTGTCCTGCTCTGTGCTTAGCGTTCAGATTCTCTCAGTCTGGATCTTTTCATAATTCATCAGAACAGACAAACATGAGCACCATCTTTCTTACTGCTAATGCACAGAGACTAAGAAGAGAAGGGAGAGACAGCTGGGCAGCAGACAGCTGGTCTTGGCCATTGTTTCCTCCTGAGCTGAAGACCAGCGGGGTCTGCTGCAGGCTGTGGATCTCCAGGCTGACAGCGGGGTCAGAGCGGAGGATTCTCTGTCACCTCCTGCTTCTGTATTTCAAAAGAGCACTTTCCTCTCCTGCTGTTTCAGGGTGCAGTAAAAATATTAGTCAACATCCTAGCTGCAAGTCTGAACCCGGAGAAGTACCCACACTCATTTCAGTGACAAAGATGACAGGGATTAATTCCCAAGATACTTTGCAGAAGCAGTGGTCATTTCCTAGCCCGGATATTCTCTAGGCATTTGCCATGGCATTCCTGCAGTTCCTGTACTTTATGGCCTCTCTGACATCTGCTTGATGATGGCTTTCCTTTCCTGGCGTACTAGCCATCTCCCTAGAGTCTCTCTAGATTTCCAGATAGAATTAGGCAAAAAGACAAAAACAAAACAAAACAGCACACACTGCTCAGTTCCACCCCACCCAATCCCACTTGCAGATGGAAGAGCCAGTTCCCCCTTCCAAACCCACCTGTCCATTTTACATTAACTCACAGAGGGGATGAGAGTGTTGACAACATGGTGAAGGTGAGCTGTATGAGGATGGCGGATACAAGTCCACTGTTGTGTGAATGTAAGAGTGGACAGGTACCATTCAGTCCTGACAGGACCATGCCCTTTACCCGTCCTCTCAACACCAGGAGATGGGCAGGCTGATTCCATGTTGGGGAGGAAACAGATGTGTCCCTCAAACCTGCTTCTCCCTGGATCAGTGCACCTACTGGGTCACAGGCACCCATCCTGCAGTGCCATCTGCTGAGGGACTTTCTCCTTTCACTCCACTCTCTACTTCCAACCAGTTCACAAGTTCGAGTCACTGTCCTGAGCACTGGTCACTTGTCTGAGGCCCATTTGGTGATGTCAGGCACTGCAAGGCTCTCCCTGATTGCAGGAGCTCCGGGATTGACACTGTGCCTGCAGTCAAGGCTTTTTGAACTCTGCAGTGCAGGGCAAGCTAAGCCTCTCATCTTTCAGGGGACATCCCTACAGCTGGTTCTAACAGAGGGAGCCCCAGGTTTCTTTTGGTCGTTTCTCCTTTCTTGAGTATTCTGTTTTACTGGTCTGTTCACTTTTCCTTTTCATATTCTTCATGTGGGACAATTTCCCAAACCCACATCACTTTCCCTGTGACTTATTTCCTTATATACAGAAAGTCAAGTGTCTCTGAATCAATTTGTGTTTTCATTGTGCAAAGGGCAATTTGGGTCCACTATACAACAGGTTTTCCTAGGACACTGACAGGGCAGCCACCCTTACCTTGTCTGATGGAAGAAGGTGTCTTAAATGATACTTCTGAGGGTAGAGCATTTCTGTCCTGTCCCCTGATTTCCAAGGTTAAGCTCTGCTAGACCGGTGTAAGCTGGTAAGGCTCACCTAGGAGGGGATGATCCTGGGGATTCCTTTTCTATGGTTTGCTGAGGCATCTTCACCAGAATGGCTCCCCATGATTAGTCTAGAAGTTATCATGTACATTATTTTTACATCATACATAATTTAAAGACTTTTACACCACATGTATTTGATTTGTATGTCTGATTGATAAAAGTGTGGTGCAACATTGGGAGAAGAATGCAGAAATGTTGTCTGTGTCTCTCCTGGTCAGGTAGTACTCATGATGACATGGCATGCCCCATTCTTGGTCTGTCTTCTGGATGAAGGAGGCTTCTCTGGTGGTCACCTCCAGAAAAATAAGGTTTTCCAAGGGTTCTGAAGCCCCATCCACTAAAGTTATGGTTTTATGAGACCCTTCCCATTTTCCTAAATCAGGGTTTGCAAAGTCCCGTGAAGATAATAGAGTCACTGTCTGGTTACCAGTGGAGAAAATGTACTGTTCGCAGAGTTTTACAATGAGCTGTGTGGAAGAGTTGAAAATTTCTCCTCTCTCCCTTCCTCCCTCCCTCTCTCTCTCTTTCATAGATTTTTGTTTCATTTTGTTTCTGACCTCTGCTTACTGAGACTGAGATTAAGCCATTAAACCCATATGTTATATAAAGAAAATGACAATTCAAGGGAAATAATTCAGTGAAACTCATTTAAAACTCAATTAGTACCATTATTACTATAATTCTTACATTATTATTATTGTTGTTGTTTTCGAGGGTTTCTTTATGTAGCTTTGGAGCCTGTCCTGGAACTCATTCTGTAGACCAGGCTGACCTCAGACTCACAGAGATACACCTGCCTATGCCTCCAGAGTGCTGGGATTAAAGTCTTGTGCCATCACTGCCCAGCTCATTATTATTATTATTATTATTATTATTATTAATCTTATAAAAATTTAACTTTTCCTAAAGTTGCTATAGAATTTTATTTAGGAAATCTCTATTTTAAACAATTTATTTTATCTTACATGTACAAATACTTTGCATGCATATATGTATTTTCACTACATACATGCATGGTGCCTGTGGACCTCAGAAGCAGCTTTTGGATCCCTTGGAACTGGTGCTACAGGTGGTTTGGGGCTGCTGCGTGGGTGCTGGGAACTGAACCTGCGTCCTCTGCAAAAGCAGTAATTTCTCTTAACCATCTAGCCATCTCTCCAGATACGGTTTCTAATTGTTTAAGCTGTCTACTTTCGCTCTGATTCCTTTCCTTTCCTTTCATTTATTTATTTTGTGGGGGAGGAGGAAGAGGAGGAGGTATGCAGGCCACAGTACACTTCTTGGGGTCCTTGGAGTTGGTTCTTCCCTTCCAGAATGTAAATCCCGGGAATCAAACTCACATCGTCATGATTGACAGGCAGCCCATCTGCGCACTGAGCTGCCCCGCAGGCCTTTTGTACTGAGCACATAACTGGTGCTGCGTGTTCAGGACCTTGGACACTTCTGCTTTCTCTTCATATCTTACAAGTTCCATGGTCTAAACAAAATAAAACCAGCACACACCCTTGAATTTCAGATGCTAGTTACTATATGACTAGACCATATGACTATTACACAATTCAGGAGTATAATACTTGAATTCAAGTAAATGCTTGCACTATATGAGGAAGAATCTTCCAGAAGATCCTTTATCAAATCTTCCTCTGGTGTACATCTGGGGCTTGGGTCTTCTCAGTCTGAGAAATATCACTGTTTCCTCAAAGAGGCATGGAATCCTAGATGCCTGTGCGGCCCATCTTTTAGGATGAGTTTGATAATTTTTCTTTCCTTAAAACCCACAATGGGAATGGCCATGGATCTATTGTAATTATAATTCTATTTCTGTTTATTAATCTTCACATGCCAGAGGAGAAGAACCCCAGACCATGTTCCTGTCAGTATCTGATAACTGGACGCTTCTCATGGGGGCTTTTGTTATGCTGTGACATGAACACATATCTCAGATGCAGTTACAAAATGGGATTCACAGAAAAGGCAAAAATGCTACCGGAGTGCCCTGGAAAAGGGCTGCACAGACTTTTGACTGCTTTCATATTTAATCTTCTCTGTTTCAGGCAAGGCAGAGCTGATCAATTGTTTTTAAAACAGCATTCACTCTCCCAAGTCACAAGCATAAGGAACCTCATGAGAATAAAGCCAGCAGCAGACACTTCCACAGCTCACCCTGTTCAGGAAACACCGCCATGCTTGGCACATAGACTTCATCTTCTTTCACACCAAGGGTCTCCCTGACACAGGCACATGACTGTCCATATGTTCTAGAGGAGGTGAGCGAGGCTCAGACTCAGAGTGCTCAGGGTCACGCTCAGAGGAAATGGCAGACTGTGGGTAGAATGTGGAGCAGCCTGGATTCAGAGTTCCCACTTCTCAGAGCTCCCTACAGAGCCACACGGAGAGCACTAGGTCTGCAGCAAGTGAGCAGAACACAGAGAGACTGGAAGGTAACGACTCTGGGCCTATTTGACCCAAGGACACTGTTTCATGCCAGGGTCTCATTTCTGATTTCTTACAATCCTCACTGAACTTCCTTGAAAACTGTAGGGCTGTTATATCCCTGACAATCAGGATGCTGCCGATGAAAGACAAGCTGCTTTTGCCTCAGGAAACCTCAAATGTGAAGCGATAGGAAAAGAAGTGCTTCTATGACCCAGGGCACTTTTTAATACAGCAGAAAGCTTCTATACTGATGGGGTGCAAGTGTCGGAACAACAGGGAGAGCGGGCATGGCTTCTGGACAGTTGGAGGTGGAGGTGACAGTGAGTGGAATAAGGCTGAACTGTGAATCCCCGACAGGTCTCCCTGAGCTCACAATGCTGTCACTGACTGAAGTTGATGAGCGAGGCTAGATTTGTGCTATGGAATCTTCTTGCTGTTCTCCCCCCACAGTCCCTACCTGCTTCTGTCAGCCATAAAATGAATGAAACCAATAAACTGCTCCATAACACTAAGGCAAGAAACACCATTTATTCTGAAGCTGGAATTGGGATCTTAGGCAACAGTGCCCTTCTCCTCCACATCCTCAGGCTCATTCGTGGGCAGAGGCCCAGACTCACCGACCTGCCCATTGGTCTCTTGGCCCTAATCCACATACTGATGCTGCTGGTCATGAGTTTAGTAGCCACAGACATTTTTATGCCCTGGAGGAGATGGGGTGACACCACATGTAAACTTATTATGTTCTTGTACAGGTTTTTTAGGAGCCTCTCTCTGTGTGCCTCTAGCCTGCTCAGCATCCTCCAGGCCATCACCCTCAGTCCCAGAAGCTCCTGTCTAGCCAAGTTCAAACACAAATCTCCATACCACATGTTAGGCTGCCTTCTTTTTCTCAGTGTCTTCTACACATCCATTGGCAGTCCCCTCATATCATACGTGGTTGCGACCCCTAATCTGACCTCATCTCATCTTATGTACCTCACTGAATCTTGCTCTCTTGTGCCCATGAATTACTCTGTTCAGCACACATTTTATATACTGTTGACCTCCAGGGACGTCATCTTTGTGGGTCTCATGGCCCTCTCCAGTGGGTACATGGTGACTTTCCTATGCAGACATAAGAAGTCCCGTGTTCTCTACAGCACCAGCCTTTCCCACAAGCCATCTGCAGAACGAAGAGCCACTTGGACCATTCTGTGCCTCATGAGTTTCTTTGTGGTGATGTACACCTTGGACAGCGTCAGTGCCTACTTAAGAAGTGTAAGTGACGATCCCATGTTTTACTGTATGTCGATTCTGATAGGCCATGGCTACGCCACCGCAAGCCCTTTTTTGGTCCTCAGCACTGAAAAAAGTGTAATTAACATTTTCAAATCCATGTGTGAGAGGGCAGTAAACACGTGGTTGTCTAGGGATGGGTGAGTTCCCTTAAGATGAGCTGGTGTACTGCCTCCAGAGCGGCGCATTGTGGCGTAGCTCATATGAGCTTCCTTTACAATGAAAATACAGAGTTACTCTTTTTTTAGTTTTATTTTTTATAATTTTTCAAGATTTATTCATATGGTGTTCTATCTGCATGTATGCCTGCATACTAGAAGAGGGCATCAGATCCCATTATAGATGACTGTGAGCCACCATGTGATTGCTGGGACTTGAACCTGGAACCTCTGGAAGAGCTGCCAGTGCTCTTAACTGCTGAGCCATCTCTCCAGCCCCCAGAGTTATTATTTTTATTTCTGTTAAACCTATTTATTATGATATATGTGGATGGCAGACATAAAAGAAAAGCCACATGCCAGATACATAAGTGTTTTATACTCTCCAGGATGTCTTCAAGGGAGACATAGAAAATGGATCTTACATGTCATGGCCTGGATTACACATACTACTTATAAATATCTGACAGATGTTATAGGCTTCAGTCATTCAACTTCCTCAGCTATCTCTGTTTTGCCAAATAAGGTATGGAAACACACACACACACACACACACACACACACACACACACGGAGAGGGAGAGGGAGAGAGAGAGAGAGAGAGAGAGAGAGAGAGAGAGAGAGAGAGAGAGAGTCTATGTATAAAAAGCAGTCCTAAGGATGGATAAACAAATTACAGTCTCTACACAGGGCTTTAAAACAAAGGGGATTCTGCACCTGGTACCACACAGACGAACATGAAGTCATCATGCTGACTGATTAAGAGTCACACAGAATGGATTCTGTGTGGACCACTTGGAGCAGGAAGAGCTGAGAGATTTCCACAGGTAGAGACAGAGCAGGTATCGTTCTCAGCTCAGGAGGACAGCCAAGGGCGACTGGCTGGGTGGAGGAGGAAGAAGTGTTACAGACGGTGGTGGGTAAAGACGTAAATGACTCCAAGCAGCGTGCTTAAGACGGGAAACGCTTATATGTGCTTTATCATAATAAAAAATGTGTTCAGTTACGAAGTATATTCTCCCCGAAATAAAAAAGTGAAAAGACCCTTGAGTGCCAAAATGTAATTTTACAAGTTTTAAAACACAGAAGACTTTTCCCAAACGGTGAACATTTTCTAACAGTCCGACTCTTAGCCTCAGTGTCTCAGAGCAGCAGAGAAGTTCTTCCTAGAGCCTCAGGAGGTAGCACTGGCCCTGCTCAGCCTTTGAGAGATCTTCAGCCCTGCCAGCCTTGGCTACAGTGAGGTGAGGCCAGCCTGGGCTGTATGATAACCTGCCTCAAAAGCAACAAAATTTAATGGTAAAAAGCTCTCAGCCTGCTCTTAGCTCCAAGAGCTGTGACTTTCTGGATCAAGTGTTTCTTGTGACATTAAACTCTGAAAATCAGACATGCAAAGTCACCCAGCAGGACAGCCATCAATGCCATGGAAGCAAGAGACTTGCCATGCATGTTTAGTTATAAAACATCAAATGCTGCTGCAGGTATTTCTTACATATGTGACATAGAATTATGTGTCATTTGATATTTCAGAAGAACAATTCAAGGATATGTGACAGACTAAATCCACTTAATTATAGTGACATCGTGACAGCCACACACATATTTTGATTACATAGTTCTGCTTTTAGGATTTTTATTTAAAGAAATAACTTTAAAACTGGGTGGTGAGCTGGCTATTGTGGTGCACATCTTTAATCCCAACACTTGAGAGGCAGAGGCAGATGGATCTCTTTGAGTTTGAGGCCAACCAGGTCTATATAGTGAGTTCCAGGACAGCCAGAGAACAGAGTGAAACCCTGCCTTGAAACAAACAAAAACAAAATGAAACGAATTGGGTGACAGATGTGGACAATTTGGAAAAACATTAAATTAGGTTGACTTTCTACATTTTGAGCCAGATATTAACAAAATGGAATTTTACATCGTTAGTTGACATGACAGAATATTTGCAACTATTAAGAAGTCAAGAACAAAAAAGAAGGAGGAGGAGGAGGAGGAGGAGGAGGAGGAGGAGAAGAAGAAGAAGAAGAAGAAGAAGAAGAAGAAGAAGAAGAAGAAGAAGAAGAAGAAGAAGAAGAAGAAGAAGAAGAAGAAGAAGAAGAAGAAGAAGAAGAAGAAGTAGTAGTCAAGAACACTGGAGGAAATGAAGGAAATGATCCAGGTGGTACATGTAGGAAAGACAAGAAGATGCTGAGACATGTGGGTGCGTATCTATTGTCCTAGCATTCAGGAGGCTGAAGTACCAGGGTCACACATTCAAGGCCAGTTGTGGCTGCACAGTCGGTTCTATTCCAGCATTCACTCTCATGTCTCAGAAAGAGGGAAGAAGACATGGGCACGCCTTTCACAACTAAGACATACCTTAGTAAATTAGCACATGAGAGGATTCAGTGGAACTAGGTGAGAAACATCAAAGCCACAATGAGACTGGTGTGGGTCATCAGAACAGCGTCAGTCAGCCGCTGACCATCAGAGGGAAGGACAACTACAGAAGATTTTGAGGAAACTGTGATAGATCTTGCTCCACCACACACTCACCATATGAGCCAGCTGTTGTTCAATCACACTCCCAGTTCTGCACAAATCATATGAGAATATGATGCATGCTAGCCTTTCCTGTAGCATTCTTCACAGTCACTGTAAATTAAAGGAATGGAATTCACAACACAGGAATGGAAGGACAGGTGGACTTCCGCACAACAAATTCCTGTGCAGCAAGAGAGAAGAGTAAGCGAGTGATAAATCAACTCAAATTAACTTCCAGTGCATCTTATTAGGTGGAAAGAGATGGCAAAGGCAGTGCTTACTGGGTCACTTCATAAGATAATCCTTAAAAGGAACAGCAGCTAACAGATCACTGGCTGATGCAAGGGATGTGTGTGAATGAAGAAAAAGTGTGCATACAGACCTTCAAGGTGACAGTCTGTTCTGTATTTGTCTAAACTCTTAGAATTTCATATCAAAAAAGGTGAACCTTAGCATTTAGAACCCCTAAAAAGAAAGAACCTTTACTAAGTGATGTTTTCTGTGGAAACAATGAGGTCAAAGGTGAAGGATACTGTGCAGCTCCATATAAACAATGTACTCTCGGGGTTGGGGATTTAGCTCAGTGGTAGATCGCTTGCCTAGCAAGCACAAGGCCCTGGGTTCGATCCTCAGCTCCAAAAA